CCCCCCCATTCTCGAAGCATACATACCTTACACGGCATGAACCTGCGGGAAAGGGAACCTATCCTCCACATCTATCCCATCCCCCACATCCATCCATCCATCTATCCATGCATCTACCTACCTACCTACCTACCTACCTACCTACCCATCTCGGTACCCGTCCCTCGCTGTCTGGGAAAAAGGGGGCGGAATGACCAGCCAGGGTCGACAACGTCCAAAGAGCCTTCACCTCACATACCTCTCCTCACCTCACCTCACCTCACCTCACCAGCCCGAAAGCCGTCAGACACGTCCAGTGAAAAAGGTCGGCTGCTCATCCATCCATCTCCGTTCACCCCCAGCGGAGCCCGCACGAACGCAGGCATGCACAGCTTCGGGCTCGCAGACCAAGTCGGACTTCAAGGGATTTGTATTGGTGACAAGCTGGAATTCAACACGAGTGGTATAATACATGGAACGTCCAAAGTTGCGCGTCCAGATCAACATTAGATTTTTCATATTCGTACATGGCGCTCGTCCCCCCCTTCCCAAGCCGCGTCCGTCATCTCTTCCCCCAGTGTGGTTACAATCTCGTCCAGACCAGAACTCCCCCTGCCCCTCCCTAGCCGTCGCCCAATGAAGGTACGAAGTACAGAATAGCAGGGAAATCAAGAACTTGGGGGAAACTAGACTTATGAATTGAGCTCTATAAATACTTCGCGTATTTCTCGTGGCCCAGAACACCAAGGTGCGCCCCTAACGCCGACCACGGTCCCAAAAGAATTCCGACCCAAAACAGAAACTGGGGAATTACACCATCTGATGATGCGGGGAGAAGCAGACGATTCATGCAACTCCGACCGGGCACCTCATCAGGCCAGATGAACGATCAAGGAGAGTTGATGAAAGCAAGACAGGCCGCCCGGACCCGTAAAGGGTGTGTCGAAGTCGACGATGTGGAAAACGATTGTACGGGAAAGGATGGGTATATGTGCGAGTACGATCGGTGCGCATCAGGTCAGATGCCTCGTGTTTCGTGGATGCGTTGGTGGCGTATTATGCGACCATGTCGTCATCGTGGGAAATAGAATTATGGGCGAAAGGATAAGTCTGTGAAGCAAGAAGCTTGTGGCATGTTTTGCCGCTGTTGAAGGCTTTCTTTCGGAAACGGGCAACGAGGACGGTCCTGTGATCCCGTCCCCAGTCTCGTGTGGATCAGCGAGCGCCGGGTATAGTAATACAATCGCCTGAGGCGATGCGGTGATGAGGCTCGAGCTGGTGGCGGCAGTCGGATTGGCTCAGTCAGTCCCACTAGAGATTTTCGATGCGCGCGCTGGGCATCTGCATGGCCGGGTCGTCGAACGACTCAACCTTCCAAGGGTCCTGGTAGGCTATAATATGGGACACCTGGGGGTACCCCCCCGGAGTGTGACCAACGACCTCGATAGGCGGCTGGTACGCAGCCGTATTGTGGTACCATTGTTCTTCTGACGCCGGAGTGTGAGGAGGTTGGTGGTACGGCTCTGACGCTTGTGGTAGCGGCGGCAGGCCGTGATTCTGACTCAAGTGCTGATGGGGATTCATTTGATGCTGATAGTGCATCATCGGTTGCTGCTCAACAAGGGGAGGGCTCGGGAGGGTGTATGTAGTGCCCGGAGGACCCTGGGGGGGCGGGTGGTGGCTGAAGAACTGCTCCGGGCTCGCTCTCGACGCCGAGGAGTAGCTACTGGGGCTGGCTTGAAGACCTTCCTGTCGGTCCACCTGGCGCGGGATCTGGTAATTCTGCATGGACACAGGGTTGGTGTTCAAGGTCGCCACGCCCGGGTTGTTTTGCTCGGGGACGTAGTATGATGAATGGGCCGGGAGACTCGGTGCTCGAGGCATGATCGAGGAATGAGGCGCTTGTTCCGGAAGGTGGCCGTGATATTGTTGTTGGGGGGGTGCCAAACCCGACATATTGTGGCGATCTGCCAGGAACTGCTGAGGCATCGAATACGCATCAACTTGATGTGGGTGGTTTCCAAAATTGGTAAATGAGTGTGCTCGATGCATCTGTTGTCCGTGGAGGAGAGGTGCTGGCACGTGAAGACTTTGATGCCAATGCATAGAACCTGGATGTTGCGGCGTGGAAGGGGACTCTCCGGAGTCGGAATCGGAAGTGTCTCCGTCGTCAAGCTCGGAAGAGTGGATCCCCCGTTGGTGGGACCGGCGCTGGTGCTTTACCATGGTCGTCTTCCGGCAGAAGCTACATGATGTGAGTGACGATTCAGGCCGCCCGAACTGTGGTACAAACCTCTTTAGGCAGCCTTCATGAGCGCACTTGTAGGGACGCTTGCCCGTATGAATTCGTCGATGGCGAGCCAGACTGGACGACTGCGGTATATATCAGCAACCGCAACCCCTACAACTCGGACTGGTGAGGCATTTCTTACATCCGAGAACCGCTTCCCACAGCCAATGTGTTGACATTGATGCGGCTTCTCACCCGTGTGCGTCCGGACATGAACCGTCAAGGCGCTTCTCTGAATGAAGCTCTTCCCGCATCCTTGGGTCATACACGAGTATGGCCTCTCGTTGGTATGTATCCTGTAATGTCTCTGGAGATCGGACTTTCTATTGAAGCTCTGGTGGAGTTATATGTTAGCTTCGATACGCTTTCATCTCCCCCCGTCATTGCTCACTTTGGAACACGTTTGCCAATCACACTGGAACGGTCTTGCGTTCTGCTCATTTTCTACCAGCTCCATGACATCCATCTTGACGTGACTCCTTTCCGGTTTGATCCTGAAATGCAGGATCTCGAGATGCACTTTTCTCCGTGACAGCTCACTCAATCGGCTGAGGCCGTCGTATCTCGAAGTGGTCGAGAGCGCAAAGCGGGAGCCCGAGTGTTGTTCCCGGGGAAGAGATGGAGGCCGTTAGGATCGGGAGGACTGAGAGTCTGCTTGGATCGGATGAGCGGTCCAGATAACGATGTCGAGCCTCCCGCACAGCTGTTGCTTGGGCAGGTGAGAGCGTTCGCGAGCTTTTTAAGATGACAATATCTGATGAAGTCAGGAAACCTGATCTGAGGCGGTAGGTGTGAGGGGGCAGAAGTTATTTACATACTCTTGCGATGCCGATTATAAGGTCCCGGGAATAGGATCCTATCTCAACAGGGTTGGGTGGGGAAGGAGGAGCGCACGAGCGTTCCTGTAGAGTTTCCGCGGCCGACGAGAAGGAAAGAAGGCTCCGTATAGAGAGAGAGAGAGTAGGAGAGACCTTCAACTACTGGAACGGCCTGACTAAGGTACGGGTGAGGGCTGACGAAGACGATTTAGAGCTCTTTTTTGATACTAGCGTTGTCGCGAGAGGCAGTGGCTAAGGGGAGGGCGTGATCCAGGCAAGAGGAAGGGGAAAGACTCTTTCGGGAGAGAAGCCGTGATGAGCAAGCTATGAGTCGTGGAACCGCAAGACGGGAAGGGCCACTGGGTAGACCTAGAAAGGTAGCGGGACGGCTTTATTTTGTTTGTTTCGAGTCGGCGTAGCAGCCTCGACTTGGGGGGGGGTGGTCTCGCCTACTGGAGCAACAGTGCGTTAGGCGAATGCGCCAGACAAAGACCGGTTCGAGAGCTTGGATAGATTCTGGAAACAGGGACTATTCTTGAAGAGAGGAAGCACGAGCTCGCGGGCAAATTTGTGGCTGGCGAGATCGTCGTCAAAAACCTCTGAGCGCAAGGACGTCGATGAGATCTCGGGGGTCCGACGGGGGGAGGGGGTGCGAGAGCACGGAATAGGATTGCACGGGGACTAGAACTGGGACTGACACTGGAACTGGGACGGGAAGTGGGATGGGGATGTCTCCTAGGAAGGGCGAGCCTTGAGCTGGGGCTATGTTGATGGTCCGGATAGGTAGTCCTGATTCCTAATAGTGTCGATGGTGACTTGGTGGTGAAGTAACGACGGGAAGGACAGTGCGATTGCAATCGGGATTGCGCTAGCCGACGTGAAAAGAGAGGGAGAAGTGTAAGAGGGGGGGGGGGAGGGGGGGGGTTATTAGGATGTGGCGGCTTTGATGGGTATATGTAGGTAGTATGTCAGTGCTGGAATTGCAAGGGCCGACCAGGGCAGGAGGATATGGCAGGGCAGGGCAGGGCAGGGCAGGGCAGGGCAGGGCAGGGCAATGCCAGGGCAGGGCGATGCCAGGGCAGGCCGGAGATCAATCTGTTTTTTGTTTTGTTTTTTTTTATGTTTTTGGTTTTTGGTTTTTTTTTTTTTTGGTTTTTCCTTTCGGGGTCGTTCATTCGGGACGGGGGCGTCCAGGTTGCCAGGTGGCCAAGCCTCCCCATGGAATCAGAGCCAGCCCAGCCAGCGAGACAGCCAGCCCGCCAGCCCGCCCGCCAGCCAGCCAGCCGAATTTCTCTGCTGACTCGCCGGCCGAGGATGAACAGATACAATCTATCGATCTGGTCCAGGACGGAGTCGAGCAGACATGTTACTCGCATTGTAGTAGTAGCTGTCTCTGCCATGCCATGGCATGCCGTGGTAGCGTACGGAATTACCGCGGCCGGATCAATGAGGAAGAAAAAGCGATAAAAAGAGAAGGAAATCCTGGACCTGCGTTGTGTTAGAGTTTGGTGGCAGACGCTAGACCCGACAGAGGAGTAGCTTGTCCTGTAGGTAATACTGGTCTACTTGTCTACTGGTATACGGATGTGGTGAGATTAGGCATCTCGTAAAGGGAAAGCCGTACCGTATCTGGGATGCGAGGGTGCTAAATACGTAGTAGTACTAGTACGTAGTAGTAGCACTGCTCCCTAGTCCTACATCATGGACTAGGTAATCGGGGGTCGACTGGGGGCGACTGGGGGCGACTAGAGGCGACTAGAAGCGACTGGGGGCCACTTGACGTACCTGAGCAGGTACCTGAGGCTTGTAGTGTAGCGTGGTGTAGCGTGGAGTGCGAATATCTAGCTTCCTCTCTCTCGCCTCTACTAGATGTAGCGCGAACGTCCGTCGTGGAGAGTAAAAAATGACAAGAAGTCACAATCATCTCCATCTCCATCTCCATCTCCATCTGCATCTGCATCTGCATCTGCATCTGCATCTTCATCTTCATCTCCATGTGCGCAAGACAGATACAGATACAGATACAGATACAGATAGGCTTTGCCTACCTACGGAGCCTATTGACAGGGCTGATGATGGGTCCGCCGCCGACGCCGCCACCAGACTGGGGCTGATAGATTCACTACCCCATCGGGGCTTCCACGCTGGCCCGCTAGCCAGAGCCACGAACTATGCACGTGCCCGGGTCTCGACCAGGGCCCATGGTCTACGTCCTACAACCACGACGACTCCTGTACTATTACTAGTACCGTACTGCTACTACTACCACGACTACTACTAGTTTCGTGCTGCTCCGTAAACTATAAATTAACAGCTCGACTAGTGTACTGTACAGTACTTACAGCTACTGCTAGTAGTAGCTCCACAGCTCCACAGCTCCGAAGCCTGCTAGCGAGTGGGCCAAGAGAGGGAGGGGGTGGTCTTACATTTATAGACATTTCTGGTTTTAGCTTAACCCCTCGTTTAGAATAGGCGTCGTGCTAGCTTTTTCCAGGTAGTAAGTACTACTACTACTACTAGTATTACAAATAGGAACAGGTTTTTTTGTCTTTCCTTCGGGATTGATCATTCCTCAGCCAAGGTCCAGGGTCGTTCCTCTCTTGTCCTTCCTTCTCGTACCTTTATTCTTCTCTTCGACTTCCTACTTTTTCACTTTGGGGGAAGCAAGCTCTATTTACTTGACTTAGTTGGACGTCGGGTGGTACTACGTACATAACACGCCCCACGGCGAGAGCGAGAAGAGACGAGATAAGGTTGAGGGAGGTAGAGAGAGAGAGAGAGGCTTGTTGCCGTGGCATGCACACTACCTATCCATGACTACAGATGTGTAGTAGTAAGTAGTACTACTATGTTGTACGTAGTATGTTCTCACGTCTTGTTTGTCTGATGGTGATGTGGGTTGAGTTAACTTGAGATGAGATGATCGACGCCCGGTTGACTCGGTTGGATTTGGCTGATCTGTGGGAGAAGAAAAAGATGGAAGAAGATTGAACCAGAGGGAGAGATGTTCGTTGGGAGCATCGTGGCCAACCCTGACGTACTACTATCTGACGAACGACGCATCAGAATCAACGATACACTTTGCGACCTACTTTCACACGGCGCAAGAGGAATGTGCAGGATTGGCCTTCCTTCTTCTTCTTCCTCGTCCTCGTCCTCTTCTCCCCCTCAGTCTCCGCTTCTCCTAAGCTCTTGATCAGACGCAGAAGAAAAGTGCAAAGCCTAGAGAAGGGGAATCATGTCCCAAACACGTAGACATTCCTCATCCCGTTTTTCCTTCTTCCTTCTGATCTCTCTTCTCTCAGCAGCCCCGAGGTCGCTTGAAGCTTCTCCGAATCCTCCATGGAAGCTCCATGTCCGTCCATATCCTTTTCTCCCCGATCGCTCGTGAAGGACTAGGTACCAGGTGTCGAGTACGTACAGTACGTAGTAGTATTTAGCCGTGCGAACTACGGTCCCGCTCCTCACCGACACCGAATATGCCTGCCACACGATCTCCCGGCATCATCCCCGCAGTCTGGAGATGGGAGGACAGGGGGATGTCTACTTCTAGCACAGCGTGGTACCTAATTGAATTTCGATGCTAATGCACGCCTGTAAGTACAGTACCACGGTACATTCTCCCCTGCCATGCGATCACGAGAACCAGAAAAAGAGATACGACCATGTTTTGCTACTACTATAGCATGTGGTCTTGTCTATTTATTTTTTTTATTTTTGTATTTTTTTGGTTTTAATTTTTTTTTTTTGGTCGCTGCGCTTGTCGTTGCGTCGTGTGTGCATGCATGCCGCCCCGTGCAGGCGAGTACCGGTATGTACTATGCGTAGAGAGGCTGTAGATAACCTCCGTACCTGCATCTTTCAATGCTGCATCTTTCAATGCAGAGATACCGGTCGTTAGAAATACTGCGAGGTAGGTAGATATGTAGGCGCGTTAGAGGCTGGTTAGTGGATGTCTACAAGACACGCGACGCGACGCGATGCAACGCGATGCGACGCTATCCTGAGTGAGGGACCCGATCGGGTCGGATCGCCCGCTGAAAAGGACGTGCGAGCCGCCGCAGTAAGTCGGGACTCTAGCTATCCTCGCTCCTCCCATACTTATTTATACATACATAGGTCCAGATTCTACGTAGGTCGGTAGCTACTACTATGTATAACGCAGGTACCAGGTTTCCGACCAACGAGGGTGCAGCGTCGATAAGAGCCGCCGCCACTGCCACCACCACCACCCCACGACCAGACTATGATATACCTACCTATATCATAATTATTTGTTCCTCCACTCACGTTCCTATCACGGTAGTTATTGCTTCCTCAAGAAAGAAGGAGGAGGAGCCACTGCTGGCTCGTCATACCTACTCCTACGGTACTTCTCTCGCGATAACCCCCACGGCCCCACGAGGATCGATCCTGAACAGGTCGAAAGCGAAGAATCAAAAGATATATTTAAAAAAAAAGGAGGAATGCCTCTGTATATGCCGGGCAGATAAGATCCAGGGGTGGTTCGGGAGGAAGACCAAGAACGGGACGCGCCGAGGAGGGGAAAGAAGAAGATAACGGTATATAGATAGCAGAGCGGGATTTGGGAACCTCTTTTTTTATACACGTATATATATGTGTGTGCGTATGTGTGTATATCTGTACGTTTCTATTTCTATTCTATTCCGTGGCAACGGCGGCGGGCCTTTGCCGTCCTGCAGTTCTGCAGCTCTGCAGCGCTGTCCCTTAAAAATAGTTTTACTGACACTTGCCAACGGGTTCGTGTCGCGATCGAGAAACCTGAGTGTCATCAGCCTCCCAAATGCGGAGGAGGGGGTGCAAGACCAGAAAGGAGAAGATTAGATGTCACATTGCTAATTTCAAAAAGAAGAAGACAGGCGTATGCGTGGATGTGTTTAGTGTTTTTACCTTTCTTACCTTAATATCAAGCGAGGAGGGGGAGGAGGAGGAGGAGGAGGAGGAGGAGGAGGAGGAGGAGGAAGGGTCTTGGTCTCCGTCCCTCCTAGTGGCGGTGAGCAAGAGCCAACCAGTTGCTTAACTGACACGGAGGTAAGATTTATTGCGTATATAACTAGTGGTACTGGGGACGTGGGAGCGTAGATTGATTTAATCTGACTTTAATTGAATTTTCCTTGGTAGGGCTAGAAGTTATCCTCCGTCGATAAGATAGGGAAGTTGGTGGATACTACTAGATAGTAGCTGATAGCTGATACTACGTACTACGTAGCTGACCGCTTTACGAAACAAACCTTGACCTAAACGAACTTCTCAGATGCAAATGTACGTAGTAATGGTACGTAGTAATGGTACGTAGTCAAATCCGAATGCGAATCTGGTGAGTTTAACCCCTCCCCCTTCCCTGGTTATCATAGTGCGTACGAATCTGCGTGTCTTACTTTATTCATTTCGTTCATTTCCCAAAACTCCCGTCTCGTGACTCGTCTCGTCTCGTTTTAGTCTCGACAGCCGAGACAAACCACACATGTTGTACGTAGTACGTAGTACCTTCTCTTTTCAAACGATTCCATCTCCATCTCCATCCAGATCCAGATCCAGATCCACGTCCAGATCCACATCCACATCCATTTCATCATTTCTATTTCTATTCTAATCCCATGCGATTCCATTCCTGCCTGTCCTCAACCCCTAAAAAAAAAAAGAGAAAAGAAAAAAAAAAAAGACCAATTACAAATTTGACTAAAGAAAAAAAAAAGTTACCTCTTTCGCTTCGTTTCAGGTTCTTCCATCTATTTATCCATCTTTTTTTTCCATTCATCCAGCCGCAAATTCTATTTCCTCTCTTCTCTTCCTCTTCTCTACTCCCCCCACCTCTCTCCCCCCTGGCGCACCCCACATGAAGTTTCATCTACTACTAACTAACCTATTCTTCCCCCCCTCCCCCTCCCCCCCGCCCTCACATGACGTTATCCTTTTCTGGAAGTTGCGAACGGGAATACGCGACTCGAAAAAGCCCGTTCCTTGCCCTCCTTACGCTTTTCCTTTTACTTTTACTATCCCCCCTTCATGGCGGACCCACTTCATAGAAGTGTATTTCAGCCGTGACGTTCACCGCTTACCAAACGTAGCAAGAATGACGTACACATTTGATTTCCTAGTCATTTTCTTAGTACGTACGTAGTAGTAGTAGTAGTAGTAGTAGTAGTAGTAGTAGTAGTAGTATTTTGTTGTAGGGCCCTTCTCTACGTACTCTGGAAGCGTCAATCACAATACTTACTGCTTGACATCGAGATCCCAATCCCACGGCGGATGAGAGCATCGAGCGACGAGTGCCTCCAGGAACAGCCGCCTCGGGCGCGTCTCACACCCATCATGCGAAGCCGATCGCGAGGTATCGCAGCAGCAGCGGCGTCGTCACACGCTTACGAGGATCGCGTGTGAACCCATCCATCATCCTTCATCATTCGCATCCCAAGTCCAAACGTGCTCTCCATCAGATTGGGGGCGGGAGGGTATCGGGGATGCTTGATCGTTGGTCCAACCACCTCGGCGGCGAGAGGTTTCTGTTTACTACTAGGTAAGCCTGGGTTCGGTGGGCGGCTTGGGTACGAGAGACGCAGGGGATTTCTTTCTGCCGGGCCTGTTTGCAAGGGGGACGGGGGACGGGGGACGGGGGACGGGGTCGTATTCTACTACTACTTTAAGGGTTTCGAGTCGTAAGCTAATTATTTCTATTGGCTGACTGGGCCCTTTCCTGGGTTCACTGCCACCCTTTTTCTAGCCCTTGCAAAAACCCTTGCGAAACCCCCTGCTAGATCCCTAGTAAAAATATCCTTTCGACATGTACAGTATTCATGGGGGGGAGAGTAGAATAATCCCGGGGGTATGGATAAGAGAATACGGGGGGGGGGGGGGTAAGGTCAGGGGAAGGGGGAGGGGGAGGGAGGAGGGAGCAGGAACAGGGTAAGGGAAGCCGGAGTGGGTAGGCTGAGCCGAGGCCTGGAAGAGCCTGGAGAGTGGGGTAAAACAAATACTCCTAGCTCCTGCTCGGCGCGAGATTTGGCTAGGCGAGTACCTAGGCAGCATTTGAGCATGACAAGAATGGTTGATGATGGATGATGACACGGAGAGGCGATCGTGTAGGGCGTAACGGAATCAGGATCTCATTCGATCCAGATCCCATACCGAGGAGCGGAAAGAGGAAGTGGAAATGCGACTGCGAATTAGAAAAATCGCAGAAACCACCCGCGTTCGGTCGATCGGATTCATCAGCCTAGCGCATCACGATGATTAATGATGCGCTTTGGGGCTGACTAGCTTAGCCTGACCCGAGCTTGCCATCTAGTTCCCGTCCGACCGATCGAGCTCGAGTAGGTACTACTAGTAGTAGTTTTGCCTCGCTTAAAACCCCCTCCTGACAAAGAGGGAAGACGACGAGCGGTATTTCCTATTCCTATTACTCTACGATCGTTGGTTTTCTGCATACACGAACGACGAACTCGCTCTCGCCTACCCGAGACGAGGGGGTTTTGGTTTGCTCTCCAGAAGCGAGAGCGGGTTCCGTCGCCAGAGTCGGGGTCGTACCTACGTAATCACTTCTTCTGCTGCTGTGGTGCTAACTCTTAACTTCTGCCACTCCCCCAAGGCAGCAGAGAGAGAGAGCTAAGAGGTCTCTTGAGGCCGCGGCCCGTCCGCTTACCTACTCTAGCCAAGCTCTTTGTCTTGAAGCCAAGAACCCTCGGACGATGAGTGAGCGGCGACGACGGGGAGATCGAACGGACGGACGAACGTGGCACTGCTTGATTGGAAAGTGGAGAGGGGGAGGGAGGTGAACAGAGAGAGGGAGAGAGATGGAGAGATAGAGGGATAAAAGGGTAAAGACAGAGGGATAAAAGGATAAAGACAAGAGGGATAAAGAGATCGCGAGATCGATAGGTAGCGAGCGTGAGGGGTGGTAGCCGGCCAATTTACATATGCTATCATGAGCGTGAGGAGGTCTGTCTGTCTGTCTCATGCTCGGCTGGCTGGCTGGCCGGGATCCCTCGCGGAGACGTTGTGAGGTCGCATGCCCGGCACGCGTGGCACCCAGTTCTCCTTCAGCGTATACCACACTACTGTACTGTACTACGACTAGTATATCATCACTGCAGGGACCCTTCTGCATGCATAAGTAGGTACACATCTACCCGTCCTTCTGCGTAGCTAGTTCGGGGCGGGCAGAGCGGGAATGGGGAGCGCAGGAAATGGAGAATGGAGAATGGAGGATGGAGGCGCGCTTTAGCGAGGCAATCAACACGAGACCCATTTCTTACTACGTACGTAGTACCTTGGATGGAAGGATAGACGCTAAGCGAGGGAGATTTGCACGTGGGGCCACCGGGCCCGAACCGAACCGAACCGACCGCAGCCTCCTCAAGGGTTTTGGCGCCTTGGCCATGGCACCGGCGCTCAGCCTCGAGGGGACCGGTCTTACGACGTACAGTAGTGGTATATTAGCTAGGCAGATCAGGACTGCAGCGAAACAAACAAGACAGCCTTGCACGTACGTTGTACGTGCCTTTCTTAGCGAGCCTACCGACGGAAGCGCATGGGCACATCATCAACACCACTACCGGAAGAAGCGAAAGGGTTTGTTATTGTGCTCATGGATCACGATCTGGATTAGAGCCATCAGGGAGAGAACGCCCAAGTACGTAGTAGTAGTAGCAGTAGTAGTAGTAGTAAGTAGTGGTGGACCTCACCGGATGCCGGCTTGGTCTTCTTGGCGCTTGAATATGTACCAGACTACTACTAGTACTGTAGGAGGTATTCCATCTCTGCTCGTCTCACCGACTTTTCAGATATTCTACAGGATTAAAGGACAAGCGCGCCGAGACGTGTTCATCGACTTCCTCTTACGCCTGCCTATACGGGGTACCGCGCAAATCGATTTCAGCTAAGAGGAGCGCAATAGTGCAGACTACCATCTCTGTTGAAGATAACGGGCCATCGTACTACGTACTACGTACATTCAGCCATTTTGCCATCTGCTGCACGATACGCTGCTGCATACAATGGATCCATCTATCTGGACCCACTGACCGTGTACTCTTTAACCACGGACCAAGAGTTCACCTGGGGGCTAGGGGTGCTGCAGCCCAGCCTGCAGTCTGCATTCTGCAATCTGCAGATGTGAAGCCTGAATCGAGCAGCGTCCTCATCCCAATCGAGACGAAACTGTGTTCCTGACCCTGCATGCATTGCAATACTACAGGTACTACGTACGTATAGGCTAATCTCGGTATTTGACGGGAAGTCTCGTCGCCGGCGCCGGCCCCCAGGCACTACGTAGATTATGGATTTGCCGATGGTACTTACAGGCGGGTGAGCTGTAGTGCTGCACGGCCTCGCGGCTCGCAGTTTGTATTGCATTGCGTTCCAACTCATTCAAGCGGCTCTGCCCTTCGGGATGCAGATCATGGGATCACCAACCAACCACACCGAACGCCACTGCCGCGCCTGACAAATCTCGTTTCGGCGTCTGTCGCGGTACCTGAAACAAATCTCCCAGGTGCGGCCGACCTTCTACGTGCGGCAGACCGCTACGTCGTCTCTCTAGCGAGGACATCTACTTCGTACATCTCGTCGTCATGAATGAGCGTGGCGCGATAGACTTCGATATTTCCCCGGCGATAACCCAATGTGTAGGGTCTGCAGCTCGAATAGTCGTTGTACAAAATAACCTTCGTTCTTCTTGGCCGACATGTCCCTTTCTCTTGTCGTTTTCCACGGCTGACGAGGTCGCATCTGTGGGCCTCCCCGCAGATGTGCCGACAGGGTCGACTTTCGTATACGGGCTCGAACCCGCAGCCACCGATGGGTTCGTACTGTAGAGACCGAGTCCGTCCGTCTAGATAACGCAAGTGCGTCCCCATCTACTCTATCAGTCTTTCTTTCATGGCCCAAGATTATAGTTCTGGCGATAATGGTGGGACTTGACGTCGCAACCTTCAGGGCCCTCCTTTGGGCGAAACAATCAGGTCCCGCGAAACAAAATGTATTCCCGCCCCCATTCTTTGGGTAAGATTAAATTGCGAGGAAACTATAACCCTTTTCGGAGAACATTTCTCGATTTATCATTTTCCTTACGTACTCTGCGCAGAGGCGGATGGTTTCGTATTTAAAAATATAATTAATAATATACTATTCTGGATGCCGTTCGAGGCTCGAAAAGCTGAATGATCTTACTCTACCGTTTATGCGAGACCGGTGCCCGCGAACCTTTCACCACCCGCCCGATTTCATACGCCTCCCGCGATGCTAGAAAGTGCGTAGCAGTAGCTTTTCCGCTTCTTTTAGATCTAGCGTAAGTTAAAAGGGTATAAGAAAAGGGGTCAGGAAGGAACGGGACTGACTGCATGCATATGCTCGGATGCACAAGAAATATTTATAGATAAAAACAAAAACAAAAACACAAAAAAATGAAAAGATTGAAAAAATAAAAAAGATTACAAGATTAAGAATTAGACAACGAGCGACCGAACGAGTTCATCTCCTTTGGCTTTTCCTTCGACCGGTTTTGACTGTATCAAGACTACGTATAGCAACCCGACGACATGAATGAACGACGACGTGCGAGCGACGGATCTCTACTCGAGACTGTCGAGACGCCATCGCAAATGCCAGAGCTGCGTGGAGCGACGTTTAAGAAAAGGAAAGAAAAGAAAAGGAAAAAAAAAAAGGAAAAAAAAAAAGAATGCGTGCCAAGTTCGCGAAGGCCTCGTATCCGATCGACCTCTTGAAGTTTTTAAGAAATGACAAACGCTTTTCGAAATCAGGCAGAATTGACTACCATTAGCTTCACACTTCCAAACTAGCCATACCGCCGCAAGATGGTCAGCGGATGCGATACCGGTACTGTGCTCTCATAACTTTTAGTCAAACGAATGCGTGGGAAAGTGAAAAAAAAAGAGCTGGAAATCCAGGGTTGGAGAAAAAGGAGACCGGATTCGCCGCGGCCTTAATCGGTCGCTCTTTTCCTTTAACTCAATTTCGAGAGATGCGCGATATAATCGACGAAAAATTAAAAAAAAAATATAAATAAAAAATAAATAAATAAATAAAAAAATAAAAAAATAAATGATAATCAGAATATTGCAGCTTGATCAAGATCTAGTAATATATAGAATCAGATATATATATACGTGTACAGATATACATGTACATGTATTTATTAAGTCCCGGTAACTAATGTTTGGAATAAATAAAATACGTTGTCTGATTTCCTCGCCATCTTTGTCAGCAGACGCGGGACATTTTCGCCTACTTTGGGAAAGGGCCCTGGCAGTTGCGACGTCAAGTCCCACTATTATTACTATATTGTTTCTATCCCATACCGCTGCTACGAGTACCACAGTACGTACTAGTACTACGTACTACTACTACGTACTACGTACGTATAGTACGTCGCACCCTGGAGGAGCAGATAGGCTCTAAACTCGGCCTTCCATTTTAAGCCTTCGCTCGAAACAACGGTAGTTGTATGAGCCGAATTCTAATTCCGGGTTTCCTGGCAGGCTCTGGGATTTAGCTCACTTGGCTACGAATCTCCTACGTACTGCTATCTTTCCACGGCGGCACTAGAAGTTGGTGGTACGTAGTACTAGTACTGCTACGTAGGACCTCTCCCACCTCATTCTTGCTACTGTACTGCAGCTTTCCCCCCTCCTCGCTGGCATGGCCGAACGAACTCGCGATAGGCTCTCAGGGAAGTCCCAACTGGGGTCGACGCAGGCAAAGGCTCTGCGATACTTCAACTGTGGAGAACTAGGTAATACTGCAAGTACTACTACAGTATACTCGGTACTACTACTAGCATGGTTCATGCACCGTCGGCATAAGCGCATCCAGGGACCAGGACTGGGATCTAGGATCTAGGATCTAGGATCTAGGATCTAGGATCTAGGATCTAGGAACTAGGATTCGATACTTACTACTGTACTACTAGCAGTATGATGCGATGCAAATGCAATGCAATGCCGCAATCCCAGCCTTAATCTCTGGTCTGTCCGGCATAACTCCGCCCCCAAAGATGCAGAGAGATAAAAACAATTAAGGTTTCCTGGGTCTGGGTCTGGGTCTGGGTCTGGGCCCGAACCAGTAGGAGAATAGATTGCGACTAACCCGACCCGCACAGGGCCGAGAGAGGCTGCTTCCCTTCTTCTACTGTACTGTACCAGCCTCGGCGAAACGGTGGCGAACACGAACTCAACATGTCGAGCTTGAGGCTCGAGGCATGCCATATATAGACACGTGGTATATAGTAGTACTTAAGTACAGTAGTACGAAGTCCGGACACCCATGAAGCGCGGGTTGCGCTGCAGAACTACACGAGCCTGCGCGCAATCAATCGCATCAATACGGTGGGTGGTGGTGGTGGTGCACAGTAGTCCGTACTCGCCCAGCTTGCCGCATCCGCAGACGGCCCCCCTCCCCTCCCCCTCGAGAGCATCCATTCACCCTCCTTATCTCGCGGAATGGTCAGGTTTAAGCTAGATTTATAGTCAAGATATGCAAAGGCTGGGCGAGTCGTCCGTACTGTAGTCATGGCGCAAGGGGACGAAAGCTAGAAGGCACAAGTACCGTCCCCTCCCAGCAGAGTCTGTTTGCCTGTTGCTTGCTCTCGGCACTTGAGGGATGTATTGACTGCGAACTCTGGCAGGAGGAGTACTCCTACAACTACGTAGTTAGTACGTAGTAGTACCTACTACTGCTATCTACACTGGAGTGGTAGTGGGGGGGGGGAGGGAGGAGGGGGAAGTTGCCGAGGATCCATTCAGGATTGTCGTTTCAAGTCTTTCTTTGGGCCTTCCTTCGTCCTCCTCCTCCTTCTCCTCCTCCTCCTCCTCCTCCTCCTCCTCCTCCTGCTATACTTGTACTACTTCTGGTACGGGCGGAATAGTAGCTATCCCCGTCTTGGAAAAAGACTTTTGCCGGAGAAGAGGGCAAGACAAGACAAGATCCACAGACGGTGGGCACGGATAGGGTTCTGGCTCTGTTTGGGCTCGTGCCACCGTGGCCACACTGATAACTCCTTCGACGGTACTGCGTTGCGTACTTAAGCGATAAGTCCAACGACTACGTACTACGTACTACTACCTACCTATACTGCACAGGAGTGTCCGCACGACGACCCTGGAGGCTGAAATAAAGGACCGCAGGACCCAGTTCGAAGCCCCCGTACAAAACGGTCTTTGCCAACTCTATTTGCACAGACTTGTCAAAGGCTAAATTCTCTCATCGATAAGCGTATGGGTGCACGCCCTGGTCCGACTTGCCTGCCTTATGACCTTGGACAGCTCAGCAGAGCCCTGGTACGAAGATTACACTTTGCGCCTCTGTTTCCAAGGACGGCGGCATACAGCCAGTTCCGTATTACTGCTGTTTTACTCAACGGCTGCCGAAGGGATTTACATTGTGCGTAGTACTACGTAGTAGTACTACTTAGTCTCTCTCTACGGAGCTTAGTTAGCCTGCATTACCTACCTACGTAGTACATGACATCTAGTACGCATACACGCAGGAAGTTTCAGCCGCTGGAAGGAAAAGAAACAGAAGGAAAGAAAGAAAAAAAGAAAAAGCGAAGAACCAAAGCTTTCCATCGCCGATAGAATGACGGCAGTCGGGCCTCTTCCCTCTGGTAGCGGGGTAGTCGTACGGAGTTGCACGCGGCAATCCCATCTAACCCCATCCAATTAATCCCCTTCCCCACCACCACCCGGGGTCCAACGGCCGAAGATGGGCGCTCTTCTCATTTCAAAAAGAAGAGGAGGGGGGGAAAAAAAAAAAACGTAACGTAACGTACGTACGTA